TTTTGCAGGAAGAATAAATTATACTTATAGACAATAACAAATTAGTAAGTATACCAGTTGGCCTATTGGATTTTTTTTTAAAAAAAAAAACATTGTTTCTATGCCAACTGTTGATAGTAGCTATGTTTATTGAGTAACTACTCAGTATCAGGTACTGAACGCACATCAATTAATTTAATTCTCACAGTAACCCTTCTTGTAGGCACTGCTTTAATCCTGTTACAATCCCATAATCCAGAAGACTAAACTAAGGCACAGAGAGGATAGTAAATAGCCTGAGGCTAAATAGCCAAAAGTGGTGGAGCTGGTATAGGAATTCAGTCTGTCTGCTCAGAGCCTGCGCTCTTAACCACTACTGTTGGACCGCCTGGATAAGTGCTTTTCCAGTTAATTCCATTAGGTAATTCAAATACAATAAAAGAATACATACAATACAGATTGTTGTGAGCGTTTCCACAAGGCAATCTATGAGTAAAATACAATTTGCTTCATGAACCTACGAACTACTCTCCCAGAAAATATGTTTGCTCATATTTGAAGAAATGAAATGGCTTAAGGTTAATTTAGCGTTTTGGCTTTGTGGATATATATTGTAGGATATAATCCAGAAAGGCAGTTAAATTACACTACATTACTCTAAATTACATTCAAAATTAAATAGAGTATAAAAATGCCTCCTTGGAAAATTCAGTCAAACTTTTGGAAATAGCCTAAAGATCCATATTTGAATTTGACATTTGTAATAGATGACATCCTGTCTCAAGATATTTCAATTCTTCTTAAGGATGAAGAAGTTACTGTCTGTTTGAGGAAGCAGTGCAGGACAGGGTTGAGAGCATGGACTCTGGAATCCAACTGCCTGGATCTAACCAGTTAGCCAGTTGCCGTCCAGTTGTTTCAAACTCATGGCGACCCCATATGTGTTAGAGTAGAACTGTGCCCCATAAGGTTTTCAATGGCTGATTTTGCAGAAGTAGATTGTTGTTGTTCTTTGGTGCAGTCCTGTCAGTTCCAATTCATAGAGACCCTATGTACAAGAAGACAAAACCCTGTCCGGTCCTGTATCATCCTCACAGTGGTTGCTATGTTTGAGCCCATTGTTGCAGCCACGGTGTCAATCCATCTGGTTGAGGGTCTTTTTCTATTTTACTGACCCTCTACTTTACCAAGCATGATGTCCTTCTCCAAGGACTGGTCCTTCCTGATAACATGTCCAAAGTACATAAGATGAAGTCTTCCTATCCCACTTTTGAAGGAGCATTCTGGCTGTACTTCTTCCAAGACAGATTTGTTCATGATTTAGGCAATCAATAGTATATACGATACTACTGGCCAACACCATAATTCAAAGGTGTTGAATTCAATTCTTCTTTGGTTTACCTTATTCATTGTCTAGCTTTCACATGCAAATGAGGTGATTGAAAATACCATGGCTTGGGTCAGACGCACCTTAGTCCTCAAAGTGACATCTTTGCTTTTCAATACTTTAAAGAGGTCTTTTGCAGCAGATTTGCCCAATGCAGTACATGGTTTGATTTCTTGACTGCTGTTTCCATGGGCGTTGATTGTGGATCCAAATGAAATGAAATCTTTGACAACTTCAGTATTTTCTCCATTTACCATGATGTTGCTTATTGGTCCAGTTGTGAGGATTTTTATTTTCTTTATATTGAGGTGTAATCCATACTGAAAGCTATAGTCTTTGATCTTCATCAGTAAGTGCTTCAAGTCCTCTCCACTTTCAGCAATCAAGGTTATGTCATCTGCATATTGCAGGTTGTTAATGAGGCTTCCTCCAATCCTGATGCCACATTCCTCTTCATATAGTCCAGCTTCTCAGATTATTTGCTTAGCATACAGATTGAATAAGTATGGTGGAAGGATACAACCCTGATGCACACCTTTCCTGACTTTAAACCGCGCAATATCCCCTTGTTCTGTTCGAACAACTGCCTCTTTGTCTATGTACATGCTCTGCATGAGCACAATTAATTGTTCTGGAATTCCCTTTCTTCACAATATTATCCATAATATGTTATGATCCATACAGTCAAATGCCTTTGCATAGTCAATAAAACACAGGTTAACATCTCTCTGGTATTCTTTGCTTTCAGCCAAGGTCCATCTGACATCAGCAATGATATCCCTCATTCCACATCCGTTTTAGAATTCAGCTTGAGTTCCTGGCAGTTCCCTGTCAGTGTGCTGCAGCAACCATTTTTGAATTGTCTTCAGCAAAATTTTACTTGCACCTTAGATTAATGAAATTGTTCAAAGATTTCCACATTCTATTGGATGACCTTTCCTTGGAATGAGCGCAATATGGATCTCTTCCAGTCAGTTGGCCAGGTAGCTGTCTTTCAAATTTCTTGGCATAGACGAGTGAGCACTTCCAGTGCTGCATCCATTTATTGAAACACCTCAGTTGGTATTCCATCAATTCCTGGAGTCTTGTTTTTTGCCAATTCCTTCAGTGCAGCTTGGAAATGTCTTCCTTCAATACCATTGGTTCTTGATCATTTGTTACCTTTTGAAATGGTTGAACATTGACCAATTCTTTTTGGTACAGTGACTCTGTGTATTCCTTCCATCTTCTTTTGATGCTTCCCGCATAGTTTAGTTTTCCCCATAGAATCCTTCAATATTGCAACTTGAGGCTTGAATTTTTTCTTCAGTTTTTTCAGCTTCAGAAATGCCAAACATGTTCTTTCCTTTTGGTTGTCTAACAAGTCTTTGCACATTTCATTATAATACTTTATTTTGTTTTCTTGAGCTGCCCTTTGAAATCCTTTGTTTAGCTCTTTTTCTTCATCATTTCTTCCATTCGCTTTAGCTACCGCAAGTTCAAAAGCAAGATTCAGAGTTTCTTCTGACATCCGTTTTTGTCTTCCCTTTTTTTCCTGTCTTTTTTAATGACATTTTATATTCTTCATGTATGAAATCTTTGATGTCATCTCACAATTCTGGTCTTTGGTCATTAATGTTCAGTGTGTCAAATCTATTCTTGAGATGGCCTCTAAATTCAGGTGGGATATACTCAAGGTTGTACTTTGGCTCTTGTAGACTTGTTTTAATTTTCTTCAGCTTCATCTTGAACTTGCATATGAACAATTGATGGTCTGTTCCACAGTCGGCCCCTGGCCTTATTCTCACTGATGATATTAAGTTTCTTCATGGTCTCTTTCCACAGATTTAGTCGATTTAATTCCTGTGTATTCCATCCGGTAAGGTCCACGTGTATAGTCACCATATATATTGAAAAAACGGTATGTGCAATGAATAAGTCTTTGGTATTGCAAAATTCTATCACATGGTCTCTGGTGTTTTGTCATCAAGGCCATATTTTCCAACTACTTGATCCTTCTTTGTTTCAAGCTTTCACATTCCAATCGCTAGTAATTAGCAATGCATTTGATCACGTTTGATCAATTTCAGACTGCAGAAGTTGGTAAAAGTCTTCAATTTCCACATCTTTGGCATTAGTGGTTGGTGTGTAAATTTGAATAATAGTATTAACTGGTCTTCCTTGTAGGTGTAGGGATATTATCCTATCACTGACAACATTGTACTTTAGGATAGATCTTTAAATGTTCTTTTTGACAATGAATGTCACGCCATTCCTTTTCAATTTGTCATTCCTGGCATAGTTAACCATATGATTATCTAATTCAAAATGGCCAATATCATCCATTTGAGCTCATTAATGCCTAGCATGTTCAAGCATTCCATTTCATATTTGATGACCTCCAGTTTTCCCAGATTCATACTTAGTACATTCCACATTTCAGGCTGTTTCTTCTCATTTTAAGTCATGTCACATTAGTAAATCAAGGCCCTAGAAGCTTTACTTCATCCACATCATTAAGGCTGACTCTACTCTGAGGAGGCAGCTCTTTTCCAGTCATATTTTGAGTGCCTTCAGACCTGAGGGACTCATCTTCTGGCACCATATCAGACAGTGTTTTGCTGCTATTCATAAGGTTTTCACTGGCTAATTTTTTCAGAAGTAGATCGCCAGCTCCTTCTTCTAAGTCTGTCTTAGTCTGGAAGCTCCACTGAAACCTGTCTACCATAGGTGACCCTGCTGGTATTTGAAGTACAAGTGGCATAGCTTCCAGCATCACAGCAACATGCAAGCCACCACAGTACGACAAACTGACAGACAAGTAGTGGAGAGGTAGATTGCCAGGTCTTTAGTAATATAGAATATAGAACTAGATTTGCAGTCCTTTATTCTGAGGTGCCTCTGGGTAGATGCTAACTTCCAACCTTTCGGTTAGCAGCCAAGCATGTTAACCGTTTTCACCACTCACCAAACATGAAATCCTGGGCAAAATTCCTAACTTTACTAAACCTCAACTTTCTCTTCCACAAAATGGAATCATAACAGTCAGCAGTCCCTACTCCTTAGAATCGTTTTGAAGATTAAATGAGAAATGCATGTAAAGCACATAGCATAGTGCCTGCCAAGTATAATGTTAAGTAAACAGTAGTTAATATGATTGTTGTTAATAATTATTACTGGACTTTCATACTGTTTCTAAGCATATATTTGTTTTTGTTGTTAGTTGCAGTTGAGATGACTCTGACTCATGGTGACCCCATGTGTGCAGAGTGGAACTGCTCCATGGGGTTTTCAAGGATGCTACCTTTCAGAAGCAGATTGCCAGGCTTGTCTTTCGAGGCACCTCTGGGTGGGTTCTAACCGCCGACCTTTTGGCTAGCGGTCAAGTGCTTAGCTGTTGGCGCCACCCAGGGGCTAAACATATATAATCCTTGTGAATTCATCTTTCTAGCAGGTGTCCTTCCGTAACTAATGCTGCATCCGAGGTCAGTTAGAGATAGCTTCTTTCACAGTTTAAGTCCTCTACAGCCTAATAATGCTTGACTGTATTCCACCGTGTTTCCCCCTTTAATAGTAAAGCATATGATGTACACAAAATTTTTGAAACTATCTTCTGGCTTGTGGTTTATATTTATAAATGGCTTTTATTCTTCAGGTCAGCTTTCTGAAGCTGCTGAGCATTATGAAGCATTCCATCAACTGACACAAGGGCGGATATGGAAGGATGAGACAGGCCGCTTTCTCAACTTGTTGGCCTGTGAGAGTCTCCTGAGGACTTACAGATTACTCTCAGACAAAATGCTGGAAAATAAAGAATACAAACAGGCCATCAGAATTCTAATAAAAGCTTCTGAAATAGCCAAAGAAGGTAGGTGGAAAAGAACATTCTCACAACGTTTTCTTTAATGGGCAGATGCTGGTTCTCCCTGGAGTGACGTAAAGATCGTCAAGTGTTTGGGTGATTACTTCCTATGAAATGCAAAGACAAATGCCATCAATATACTTCCCAAATTTTGCTTTAAAACAGAGGTTCCTTAGTGCTGACAACAAGAAATCCATTAGATTCTGAAAAGCTTTATCTCCAAAATGTAATCCTCTCAGAGTAGTGATACAAAACAACAAACCCGTAATGAGAAGTTTAAGGTCATTTATGAAAGTTAAGGGAGGGAGGTTAGGGGTATTTTTTTTAGGTTATTTCTTTCTTAAATCTGAGAGACCTTTCATTGTTTGTAAATACCCTATTGTCAGGTAATAGGGAAACCATAAGAACCCCTGATGGTGCAATTGTTAAGCACTCAGCTGTGAACTAAAAGGTTAGCGGTTCAAACCCAGCCAGAGGCTGCACAGGAGGAAAGACCTGGCCATCTGCTTCCATAACGATTTCAGCCTAGGAAACTCTGAAGGGCAGTTCTGCTCTGCCCTATAGGGTTGGTATGAGTTGGAATTGACTGGACGGCACACAACAACACCACCACAACAAGGAAATCATAATAAATATTTAGTTAGGAGTAACCAGAAAATAAAAACCAAACACCCATTCCCGCTGACTCGATTCTGACTCATAGCGACCCTATAGGACAGAGTAGAACTGCCCCATAAGGTTTCCAAGGCTGTAATCTTTATAGTCTTTATGGAAGCAGACTGACACATCTTTCTACCTTGGAGCTGCTGGTGCGTCTGAACCGCAGACCTTTCAGTTAGCAGACGAGTGCTTAACCACTGTGCCACCAAGGAAAATAGGACTCTAAGATCCTTGCCTCTCAAAGTGTGACCTTTGAGCCAGAAACAGCACTTCACCAGGAAGCTTGGAAGAAAAGCAGAATCTCAGGCCCCACCCCAGACCTACTGAATCAGAATCGGCATTTTAAGGAGATCCCCAGGCGATTCGAATGCACATTAAACGCAGTAAAAGTGCTTTTGTGAGAGCTGATCGTGTCCTTAATATTTTATATCATTTGTGTATGTATAAAATATGAAGAAAAATTTTGAAGCATATTTTTATAAGCTTTAATTTGTGAAATGCAAGGATATTTTATTACCAGGTAGTAATTTATTAATAGAGTACCTTTTCAGGAGAGAGAAAAATATGGAAGCTTTGCTCTTGAACTAAAGCTTATTAGCTCCTGGATATACTTAATAGATTGGCTTAGTATGTAACAAACAGCTTACTCAGAGTAAGCTGAACTTATTTTAATTTACTGGTGTGGTTTTAATTTCCTAAAAGAGTAAATGTAAACATCTTATTCTTTCTGTTACTTCTTTAATAATGTCAGTTGGACTACGCATAGGAAATAACCCATATTGAAAGATGTATCCCATTAAATGAGCCGCTTTTGAATGAATGGTGATCTAGTATCTCCCCGAAAGGGGTAAACACTGACACGAATAGTTAGTTCTTAGGTGGATTTCAGCAGCTAACTTAAGTTACATGGAATTTCATTGTAAAGTAAGGTATCAATTGGGAAAAGGCATTTCATTTTAGGCTCACATTTTCTAAATTGTAAGGTAGTTCACAAAGAGCTTGGGTCTGCTCCAACAGCCCAGAGCCTGCCAAGCAGTCTCCTTCTGAAAGCATCTCTCACTTTATGAAGGACAAACATGGGGCACAGGGGAGAACTTACTTCTTATGGTCTGAGAATTTTTCTAATAGCTCAAAAACTGATAACTACCTGTTCCCACATTTTCCTTGTAAGAAAGTATGCAAGTTGAAGGACTGCACAATTTTTTACAGAACTCTGACAGTAGCTGAAATGCTCTAGGAGACAAGACATTCCTTCTTCCTGTTGTCTCTTTCTTTGGTCAGAGAGTCTGAAGCAAGAAGCTGATGATTGGCTGGGTAAGGCATCACGCTCCCACAGTGGTTTACACAGTATTTAAGGGCTACTCACACCCACTACAGGCCTGCTTCTTTGCTGGGCATCTTGGTAATGCACACGTATAGCACCACTGACGCATGGTCTCATAATTATATTCTTACTTTTTTAAGCATACAACTCAATGATTTTTAGTATATTCACAAAGTTATTCAACTACCAACACAAATTGCAGAACACTTTCATTATCCCCATTAGCAGTCACTCTCCATTCCCCACTCCCCAGCCTCAGCAACTACTTCTCCATTTTCTGTCTCTGTGGATTTGTCTATTCTGGACATTTCGAGTAAATGGAATCATATACTATGTGATCTTTTGAGACTGGCTTCTTTCACTTAGCATAATGTTTTCAAGGTGCATGCATGTTATAGCATGTATCAGTACTTCATTCCTTTTCATGACCAAACAATATTCCATTGTTTGCTAATACCACGTTTTGTTTGTCCATTCATCTATTAATGAACCTTTTGTTTCCACCTTTTGGCTCTTATAAATAATGCTACTATAAACATTTGTGTACAAATTTTTTGTGTGCACATATGTTTTCATTTCTTTTGGGTATGTATCTAGGAGTGGAATTGCTGGGTTATATGGTAACTCTTTGTAAACTAATCGAGGAACTTCCAGTCTTCCGAAGTGGCTGCACCATTTTGTATTCCCACCAGCAATGTATGAGGGCTTCCATTTAGCCACTTCCTTGCTGACACTTGTTATTGTCTGTCTTTTTTATTATAGCCATCCTGTTACTTTTGTTGTTGGGTGCCGTTGAGTTGATTTTGACTCATTGCGAACCCAAAATCTTTCTACTTCAATCTTTCTTCCTACGAGCAGGGGTAGATTTTTCTTTCTCTCTTCCTCTATTCTGAGCTGAGAGTACTATATCAGCCCATACGGTTGCCAGTTGCCCTTCTCAAACTAAGGGGCTTTACACTATTTAACTCAGCAAGGACAAACTGCATGTAATCAACTCTTAATTATCTAAAAGGCAGCTTCCCTTCAAAACTCCTTTCCTCTACCCCATCTTTGCCTCCCCTAGCCTCATCCCTATCCCCAGCACACAATCACCTGTATCAGAGAAAAAGTTAGGGCCCAGTTGAATTGTAAAAGTTAACATTCCCCAGACGGGATCACTGGCACCATCAACTCTGGTGAAGCGAGACCTTGAGGGTATAATTCTCTGCAATTGGTGAAATAGCTAGAGGAGAAAAAAATTGCTGTTGCTGGCATTTGCCATTCTATTTCTTGCTGTCTTCTAGTTGAGCTACTGCTTCACAAGGGGTAATTCAGTGAGTGGTGAGAGTGAGTGCAGCATGGAGAATTGCTAACTGCTGCTGAAATCCATCACTTCTAGAATGCAGGGTTCAGAAATCTAAGGATACTTTCCAAAGACCAAAAACAAGGGTGTATCTGTCAGCACATGCCTTACCCAGGAGTTAGGTGACACTGGAAGTCAATGACTTTCAAAAATAGATAAAGGATAGTATTCTTTTTAAAAATGAGTACCTTTCCTGGCTCTTGTAAATAAATTATGTATTTATAAAATGGCATGATGTATGTCTTGTTCACCTGCATGTTACACATTTGCACGTTTTGCTTTTGGAAAAGGTAATTAGATAATTCCTAGAATAAAACACATTTCACAAGAATTAGAAAGGCTAAATTCTTTGCAAAAAATGGTGAGAAGTGTTACCAGTCATTCACAGAGGAAAGTGTATTTGGAGTTCAAAATATGCGTGGAATTTCATTACAAGAAGCCAGATTCTATCAGTTATCCTCAGTTAAACTTAAACCAATAGCTTTTAAATGGAATGTAATCAAAACAGTAATTCCTTAATTTGCTAATTATCTACCCCATTACAGATTAAGCTGAATTTTAGTCGAGGTGTATGTGAGTACGTGTGTTTGTGTATGCACCCTAGTAGGGTTGATACCCTTTACCAGGTATCTCATGAATGTAGAAGCAGCTATGCTGGATCACTATAGGTCTTTGCATGGAAGTACACATAGAAATAATATATGATTGCCAATAATGACAATACTGGGCTGTATGTGTAGAGAGAAACCCCTTATAATTATACTGTTAATACACCTTACTCTGACATCTGTGATTCAGGAAAATTTTATTTTTATCCTTCTTTTTCTCAGTACAGTTGGGTTTCAGGGATTTTTGCTAAATCTGTATAGTGTTTTATAATAAGGTTCTACTATCTTAAAAAGCAAGGATTCCATTTATTGGACTAAACCAGTTATTTAATGCTATAGTAATTTCTCTACATCTTCTCTTTAGGAAGTGACAAAAAGATGGAAGGGGAGGCTTCCTATTACTTGGGCTTAGCATACTTGGCTGCTGGAGAGTATGAAACAGCATTAACAGTAAGTTGAAGTAAACATTTTTTTTTAATTTTATTTTTTCCCATACAAAAATTTATACATACGTTGTTATGTGACTCTAACTGCTCTCCCCATAATGTGATAGCACACTCCTCCTTTCTACCGGATTCCCCATGTCCATTCAACCAGCTCCTAATCCTCTCTGCCTTCCCATCTCACCTTTGGACAGAAGCTGCCCGTTAAGTCTCTTGTATCTACATGAGCTAACAGCACAGTCCTCACAAGTATCACTTTATATCTCACAGTCCAGTCCAATCCCTGTCTGAAGAGTTGGCCTTAGAAATTGTTTTAGTTCTGGGCTGATAGAGAATCCAGGGACCATGCTTTCTGGGCTTCCTCCAGTCTCAGTCAAACTATTAAGTCTCATCTTCTTACTAGAATTTGAGTTCTGCACCTCACCTTTCTCCTGCTCCATCTGGAACTCTCTGTTTTGTTCCCTGTCAGGCCGATGAAGTCTCTGGTTTATGTGTCCCTTTCTGTCTCTTGGGCTAACTTTCCTTATATCTTTGAAGTTCTTCATTCTCCTTTACTCCAGGTGATTGGGACCAGTTGATGCATCTTCGATGGCCGCTTGCAAGCTTTTAAGACTCCAGCCACCACTCACCAAAGTAGGATGCAGAACATTTTCTTAATAAGCTTTGTTATGCCAGTTGACCTAGATGTCCCCTGAAAGCATGGTCCCCAAATTCCTACCCCTGCTACTCTGTCCCTCAAAGTGTTTGATTGTATTCAAGAAACTTCTTAGCTTTGGTTTAGTCCAGTTGTGCTGATTTCCCCTGCAGTGTGTGCTGTCCTTCGCTTCACCTAAGATAATTCTTATCTACTATCTAGTTAGTAAAAAACCCTCACCCTCCCTCTCCACCCTTGTAACCATTGAAGAATGTTTTCTTCTGTGTAAACCTTCTCTTGAGTTCTCATAATAGTGGTCTTATACAATATTTGTCCTTCTGTGACTGACTAAATTCACTCAGCATAATGACCTCCAGATTCCTCCAGGTTATGTTTCATGGCTTCATCGTTGTTCTTTATTGTTGCGTAGTATTCCATTGTGTGGGTATACCATAATTTGTTTATCCATTCATCCATTGATGGGCACCTAGGTTGTTTCCATCTTTTTGCTATTGTGAACAGTGCTGCAATGAACATGGGTGTGCATATATCTATTAGTGTGAAGGC